TTTCCCTTCTGATTTTCTGTCTGGATGATCTGTTCATGCTGAAAGTGGGGTTTTGATGTCTCCTGCGATTATTGCATCACAGTCTATATCTCCCTTCAGATCTATTAATTTATGTGCTCCAACACTGGGTGCATATATATTTATAATTGCTATATCCTAAATTGTTATATTGCTAAATTGACTCTTCTATAACAGTTTTTGACTAAGTCAAAACTTATTTTATCTGCTATAAATATAGCTACCTTTTGGTTTCCATTTTCATAGAATAATTTCTCCATCCTTTTACTTTCAGTCTATGTGTGTATTTAATGGTGAAGTGAGTCTCTTATAGGCTGTATACAGTTGGGTCTTTTATTATTATTATTATTATTATTATTATTCTGCTTAAACCATTTACATTCAAGGTAATTATTTATAGGCAAGCACTACTGTTATTTTGTTCATTGTTTTCTGGTTTTCGTATATCCTTTGTTCCTTATTTTCTCTTTCACTGTATTTCTTTGTATTTAGGTGATTTTCTTTAGTGGTATGCTTTGATTCATTACTTTTTATCTTTTATATGTCTACTATAATTTTTTGCTTGGTAGCTATAGATGAGGCTTACATAAAATATTTTATAGGTATAACAGACTATTTTAAGGTGATAACAACTTGACATACAAAACTATACTTTTGATTACATATAAAAACTATACTTTAACTCCACCCCACACATATTTTATGTTTTTGGTATATTAAATTTGTATCTTTTTGTATTATATATCTCCTAACAAGTCATTGTAGCTATTATGCTATTATCATTTTAAATAGTTTTGTCTTTTACCTTCATACTAAAGATACAGGTAATTTTTATACACTGTTTCAGTATTGGAATATTCAGAATTTGATGGTGTGCATACTTTTACCAGTGAGTTTTATACTTTTATATGTTTTTGTGTTACTAATTAGTCTCCTTGTCTTTCAGCTTCAAGAATTCCCTTTAGCATTTTTCTGAAGACAGTTCTGATAGCAATGAACTTTCTTAGCTTTTGTTCATCTGGGAAAGTCTTTATCTCTCCTTGGGTTCTGAAGGACATGTTTCCTGAGTTCAGTATTTTTGATAAACAGGGTGTTTTTTCCTTCAGAATTTTGAATATATAATTCTACTCTCTCCTGGTCTATAAGTTTTCCACTGAGAAGTGTGCTGCTAGCCTCATTGTAACTTTCTTAATATGTTATTTGTTTTTTTTCTCTTGCTACTTTAAGAATTCTCTTTGTCTTTAATTTTTGACAGTTAAACTGTATGTTTTGTTGTAGACTTATTTGTATTAAAATAGATTGGAGACCTTCGACCTGCCTGTATTTAGATATTTATAAATTTCTTCAGATTTGGAAAGTTTTCTGCTATTATTTTTTAAATAAGTTTCTACCCTTTGTCTCTTCTTATTTTTGAGCTTCTATCACTCCAATATTTACGTTTCTTTTTTTTATGTCTTTTTTTTTTTTATGACCGGTAAGGGGATTGCAACCCTTGGTGTGGTGTCGTCCGCACCACGCTCAGCCAGTGAGCGCACCAGCCATCCCTATATAGGATCCAAACCAGCGGCGGGAGCGCTGCTGCGCTCCCAGCACCACACTCTCCCGAGTGTGCCACGGGGTCGGCCCCAATATTTACTTTTCTAATGCCATTCCATAAATCTTATAGGATTACTTCATTTCTTCTTAATCTTTGTTTTCTACTCTGACTGTATATTTACAAATATCCTGTCTTTGAGTTTACAGACTCTTTCTTCTACTTGGTCAATTCTCTGTTGACATTTCCATTGCATTTTTCATTTCATTTTTTTTTATTGTAGCTTTTGACTCCAGAATTTGTTGGATCTTTTTATATATAATTTTAATCTCTTTTAAATTTTTTTCTTTTGGATATTTATTGTTTCCTTGATATTGTTGGATTGGTTATGTATATGTGGGTTTTTTCTTTTTTTATATTTTTTTAAGTTCATGAATTTTCTTAATTATTTTGAATTATTTGTGAGGCAGATTATAAATCTCCATTTTTTTAAGGGTTAGTTACTGATGCTTTATTTTGTTCCCCTTTTGGGGTCATGTTTCCCTGATTGTCCTTGATTCCTGTGGCTACACACTGATGCCTACACATTTGAAGGGATTTATTTTGGTCTTTGCAGACTGCCTTTGTCTGAGAAATCCCTTCACCTCTTCATCTAGAAGTTCTGTAAGCTCATTTGGTGTGGTCCATGGGCACTCTTGCTGTTGCATTTCTTGGGCAGGCTGGCCTAGTGACAGGGTCATGAGGTGGGTGGGCCTAGCACCTGAATCTGCAGGACTGGGCCTGGAATCTGTATCCATGGGGGCTAGCCTGAAGTCTGGGTTCATAGGGGCTGACCTGGTTTGGGGATGGGCCTGGTACCTGGGTCCACACGGATAAACTTGGAGCCTAAGTCCCTAAGAGCTAGTCCTGCACTGATGCTGGAAATGGACCTGGAGCCTTGATCTGTGTGGGTCACCTTGGCACTGGGACTACTAGGATGTCCTGAACCCTAGATCTAGTGGAGTCTTGGACCATGGGACCTGGCTTAGAGCCTTGGTCTGTGGAGGCCAGCCTGAAGGCTAAGTGCAGAGTTGTTGGCCTGGAAGCTAGGTCCACAGGCCTGACCTGGATGTAGGTTTCAGGTGCTGTTCCGGAACCTGGATCCATAGGGATTGTCCTTGAGCTTGGGTCTATAGGGATTGGCCCAACACTGAGTTCTACTGGGATTGGCTTGGACCCTGAGTTTGCGGAGCATAAGTAAGCCCTTTCCATGAGGGGCTAGCATAAAAGGTGGGGCCACAGGAACTGAACTGGCACTGGGCAAGCCTGGAGTCTGTGTCCACAGGTGTCCACCTGGTGCCTAAGGCTAGAGTGGGCCTGAAGTCTGGGGTTATGTGGTTTTGCTTATTCATAATAATGCAATAGTTTAGAATTTTTTTTAAAAAGAATTTAAAAATGTTAAAGTGTATTCATTCTCCTTAATAGATTTCTCGTCTGTTAGTCTCCACTTTCTAATACTAAAAAAATTGTTCTTTAAATATTAATGATATTTACATATTATCAGATAAATTATTTGCTCATATTTTCTCTCATTCTGTAGGTTACATTTTCATTCTGTTGGCTGTATCCTTTGATGCACATCAGTTTTCTTTATATTGATGCTCAATCTATCTATTTTTACTTTTGTTGCCTATGTTTTTGGTGTCATATCCAAGAAATTATTGCCAAATCCAGTGTCATCAAGCTTCCTCCTATGTTTTCTCCTAAGAGTTTATAGTTTGTCTCTTTGTCTTTTGTATCAACTTTACTATCTAAACTTTCTATTAAGTTTATTTCACTCATCCTATTTCTAGTTTCTAAGAGCTCTCTCTTATTCTTTCTTAATTTTGGTAGAAATTTCTTATTTGATAGGCAAATATTCTCTTATATTTCTAATATTACTAATTTTTAAAAAAATGCTCCCTAGGGCCGGCCCGGTGGTGCACTGGAGAGTGCGCCGCTTGGGAGCGTGGCGGCGCTCCCGCCGAGGGTTCGGATCCCACATACAGACCGGTTCCCGCTCACTGGCTGAGCACAGTACAGACGCGACACCGAGGGTTGCGATCCCGTTACCGGTCAGTAAAAAAGACAAAAAGAAAAAAAATGCTCCCTATACAGTACAGACGCGACACTGAGGGTTGCGATCCCGTTACCGGTCAGTAAAAAAGACAAAAAGAAAAAAAATGCTCCCTATGTTATTGTTTCATTTTTTTCTGAATCTCTCCACCCACACCCATTAGTTTCTTTCTTTCATATAAGGATCTTTTCTCAATTGTCTGGTGGTACTTTGTTCTATGTATAAATGTAAGGAACTAACGTGCTGCTGATTAAGCAGCTTTATGGCATAGCTAGAGCTTATTAACTGATGCTTTTAACTTAGGATACTTGGGGATGAGTTGGTTCATTTGGAGGTGGTGCTGTCTCCAAAAGTCAGTGTCACTGGGCTTTTTCCCTGATTCTGGTCGGTTTCTCCAGTTAGCAGTTCTCTGATCTTCCTCCAGGGGTAGGGTTACTGAGCTGGGAATTGCAATATTCTGCATGTGGACTTTCACTTAATTTCTCTCCTGTCTGTACAGTAGCCTTTCCTGCTTTCCACAGTACCTGAATTCAGATCTAGAGACTTCTCACTTAATTTATCCCTTGAAGCAATTTTTAGTGTCCTGATTAGGCAGAATAAGGCTAGATGCTAAACCAAAAGGAATTAGGAAGAACATGGGAGTTCCTTATGTAGACATTAAACCCATTTCCATGTTTTCAGCCCACACCTCATTCCTCATATGCCTGCTAATTATTTCTGGGATCCTAAGGATGGGTAGGCTTGCTTCACACTAGCACTTGGTATTCAGTTATCTCTACTCTGCTGTCTCCTCTATACACTTTGTATCATCCAAAATATTGTTGACATCACCCATAATCAGCCTGTATTAGTTTATACCATTTGATCATTTACACTTATTTTAATTGTGTTCCAGAGAAAACAGATTTGTATACGTAAATTCACCCTTAATTTCCCTGTTAAAATTTTCAGAAATCATTTTTGTAATTGAAACTAGGCTTTCTAGGTTCTTTATATTAATTGCCAATCATAATTTATCTGTTATTAATGACAGGTACCTCATGTAGTATGTCTACTTAGGGATAATATTGTTTTAATTTTGTTATCAGATTAAATCATTTAATAAATTTACATATTCCATGTTTTAATGTTACAAACTTAACCCCTCAGCCAATTATTTAATTAAATTCATGTCTATTGAGTTTTAATGTTAGAAATAAATTCCTTATTTTACTGTATGTTTTAACATTTTTCAAGAAATCCATTTTTTGAATTTAAAAAATGTATTACCTCTTAAAAACTTTGATCTTTAGATAGTTATAATGTTTTGTTGAATTTAAAGTTTTTTTTTAATGTGTTCTTTTCAATTTACAGGGTAATACTACTTCAGTTATACCTGCAAAAGGTAAATTAATAATATTCTCATAATTTTTTTTTTCCAGTGGACATCACGACACACCTGAGTCTCTGCTTCTTGACAGCTTTTAGCTCTCCCTTCTGGCTCTCTTCAATGTCTCCTCTGATTTATTGAGTCTAATCTGCTCTGAGCTAAGCAAAAGAATAGATAATGTGACTGTTAAATTCAAGCTAAAAATAAAAATAAAAGAGGATCTGATTAGGGACCCATGTGTAAAGTTCATGTGTTTTAATGAATGCGCATTGTGATCAAAAAAATGAAACCGTTCCAAATTCCTCACTTCCAAAACAAACACTAGGCCAAGACTATAATTCAAAAAAAAGGTAGTGTGGCATGAGTATATATATAGTTTTGGTTCAAGAAGTCTGCATGAAATTTTATGACATTTCTTGATAAATATAAAATAAAGCTACACAATTACCAACTGTGTTGAGCAATTAAATGGCTTACTGGAGCACATTTAGAATTTTCAGGTTTTTATTTCCCCTTCTGTCGTGTGAACCATCTTATATAAATATGTCTGTCTATAGCAGATTCTAAGTACATGAGCTAGTAATTTTTGTTGTGATGTCACACTCTCTAAAGAATGTGTACACACATTTATCACAGTGATTTCAAAATTTCTGAATACTGTAGTATGCATAGAAGTTACGATTAAATTCTCCTAACTGTATGAAATGTGTTTCTGTATAGACCGCCCTAAATTTGAGGCTTGCATGTAAGTGATTATATCAGTAAATGTTTCCCCCAAAATGGACTTTGATATTTGAACTCCTCTCTATAATTTTCAATATGTTAATAGCTTATTATTTAACAACAGAAGATATGTTTGACATGTTTGTGTTCTACTGTGCACAGATGAACAAATAGACTCTGGATTGAGTGACTTCCATCAAACTGATGGATTTAGCTTGGAAAGAGATTTGGTCAGCCCAACAGCAACACAGGAAAAATCACAGGAAGAACTTGCAATAATCAATAACGGTATTTCTAAGGAAATATGGGTAGATTTTGAAGACTTCTGTGTATGCTTTCAGTACGTATCCAAATTTTATCCATCTGACTATGTTGCAGTGTTTAAATTCTGAGCTGCATTATTATTCAAATTCACATCAGGATATGCTTCTGTGTATTTAATACAATGGTTATATAGCCTATTAATTTTTAGCTATCCTTCAAAGAGTTAAGCTAATTTTAGCCTGATGTTGGTATAATATCAAATAAAAGTTTTAGAAGAAAAAAATGGATAAATTCATTATCCAAATAGCACCAATAGCTAAATCAATCTCATTCCAGTTTCAGGTTTTCCTCAAAGGCTTGTTTTTTAATTAAAATGAAGACAATTTATTCACTGAGATCATTTTTATCCCTTTAGGGCAACTAACTCAATACAGTTGTTATTTCTTTTAACTTTCTGCCTAAAATTATTTGATCCTAAGAAACTTAACATGGTAGTCTTTGCATATAGTGACAATAACCTGTTACAAATTATTTTTTTTTCAGGAATATATATATTTTCCACAAGCCAAGTTCATACTGCCTTAACTTTCAAAAAACAGAATTTAAGGTAAATATATTATGATCTCTTCTCTTTTCTTTTTTATACTTAAATTTTTGGTAGAATCACACTAGTAAACACATTCCTCCAAATTTCTCAAGCATTTCTAAACTTGTCACATAATTATATTTAAAAATTTAATTTTCAGTCTTGTACTAATCTCTTGTCCGGACAATAAGCAAAATTCTGCTAGTTTGTGTCCCCAGATGTGATCCATCTGACTATGTTGTAGAGTTTAATCCTGAGCTGTGTTGTTATATAAATTCACATCAAGAAAATTGGATTTATGAATAAATGGAGATGCACAAATAAACCCATTATATTTAGTTCCAAATAGTATTTTTTGAATAGTGCACAGTTCAAGCATAGAACTTTTTCATCACTATGTCTGTTTTGTTTTGGGGGGGTATTTTTGGTGTTTCTTGTTTTTTTGTTTCTTTTGCACATGTTCTTCTTTCTTCTCTCTGCTTGGAGATTTTTCTTTTTCTTCCTTTTTTCCTTCATCCAGCTAATGCCTAGAAGTCCTTCAGCACAGCACACAAGTCCTTGGCTCTGCTGGGCTCCTTCTCTGGCCATGGAGTCTAGGTTGAGTGGCTCTCTGTGCTGAGTCTAGTCAAGCAATCACCTCCCACTGTCCCAGATGCCAGATTGCTCCCCTCTGCCCTCTCTGCCTCCTACTTGATGTTAGCATCTTTATAAGAACTGTGCCCTTTTGTTTACTATTGGAAGACCATTCCTGGCATAAGGTAGGAACTCGATAAAAAATGGTTGGACATATTAATTAACAAACCTCACACTAAGTGGAATTTTAGAGAAAACAATGAAGCACATTCTGGCAAACTAAATTGTACTAAAACTTGCATGTTTTTTTGTCTTAGGACAAAGTCATACAAGCCCCTAAAGATAATCCCACTGCACTTGTAACAGATGAAAATGCAGGCAGAGAAAACCTTTTCAGCATTCCTCAAAATGTGCTCTGTAGCTGGTTGGTCTGCCATAGTGACTGGGGCTGGGGAGGGTGGGATCATTCTGAGCTGTTCCACTGATGCTCAGTGTGAGCATGGAGCAGGGGCCTTTCAAAGGTGCCATATGCTGGCACCAGGGCAGAGTCCCTCTGTGTGGACTTTGGCACCACCCTGTGCCCCCAGTCTCAGACCTTTAAATATGACAACAAATGAGGTCAGTGCAGAAACTCCTCCTTGGGTTTGCATGCTGGGCTGGCAAATCCAGGAGTCCTTCACAGTTTTAGGTAGTGACTATCTGAATGACTCTCTACACCACCAACATGTTACAGCTGAGAGGAAACAAATGAAATAAACGGCCAAATGATAACTAATGGAAAATATTGAGGGAAGCAATAATTCAAAACATTGTTGCATTGTATCAAGCCTTTCTAGCAGTCTTGTTATACCTTATTGAATAACGAGGTTTTCTTTGTCCCAGAATTACTAGAGATTTTTCTTTCATATATCAACTGGTTATTTAAATATTGTGGTGAAATAATATGAAAAGCTTTTAAAGTATAGCAACAATTCAATTTACTGAACACATTTACCACATATCATCAGTCAAAATTATATTGAAGCACTGAGAATTTGAGAGGTGATTATAACACAATAGTGAAGAATACCTATTATGAAAATATATAAGTATATAAAAATATAAAAATATATAAGGTATAAAAATAGATAATACCTACTTTTGAATCTCAGCTTTGCTACGTATATAAGTATATAAAAATATATAAGGTATAAAAATAGATAATACCTACTTTTGAATCTCAGCTTTGCTACTTACAAGCTCTGTGACCTTTGACAAATCACTTATCCTCTCTGTTCCAGTTATATAGGATGAATTGAAATCGCATATATGTAATCTGTGTGTGGTTGTCTTTTAAGGGACGTTCTGGTTTTACTTAGCACTTTATTGTATCTGCAAAACAAAACTCCACAGTCTTGTGCATTGGCAAGCAATGCGTATATTTATGAAGATTTTGTAGAAAGGAGGAGGGGGTTTATGCCACACACCATCCTGTGAAATACCTTAATATATCCCCATTCTCTGCCAAAGTTACTCCATGGCCTCCCTGCCCAGAGGGAACCATTCTCTGAGCACCACTCAGTTGGGGTCCACTCCTCTCTTTTCATTTCTGAAACAAGCTTACCA